CTTCCAGGGACGCCTGGGTGGCTCAGCGGTTAAGCGTCTGCCTTTGGCTCAGGTCATGATCCTGGAGTCCCGGGATCGAGTCCCACATCGGGCTCCCTGCATGGAGTCTGCTTCTGCCTGTGTCTCTACCCCTGTCTCTACCCCTATCCATGAAAGACACAGAGACAGAGGTAGAGACACAGGCAGAAGCAGACTCCATGCAGGGAGCCCGATGTGGGACTCGATCCCGGGACTCCAGGATCATGACCTGAGCCAAAGGCAGACGCTTAACCGCTGAGCCACCCAGGCACCCCAAATCTTAAAAAAAAAAAAAAAAAAAAAAAAGAAGAAGAAAAAGAAACTGGGCTTCCAGACTTCTCAAATTATTCACCTGTCCCCACTTCCCAGCCCCCAATCCCTCAAAAGCAGAAAACTAAGTTCTGGTACATACTTCATGGATAGGCTACCTAGATTCCAAAATACTAAATGCTCACTTACTGTTCTTGCAAATTAAGTGCCTAAGTCGGCGTGCCCATTACTATCCTATCCAGGCTGCTCTGACCCTGTTTACAATTAAAGATCCTCCTCAATTCTCACTTACACTGCACTCAGAAGAGCTGGTTATTGTGCCTGATTGAAAAGAAATTCTTAGTTTCTACACGAGGCTACAGCCATGGCAGTGTCCCGCTGTACCACAGATGGTCCTTCCTGGTGGATCATATGGAAGTTAACCACATCTGGCTAAGCAAACTGGAAAGGAAAGCAAAACTTCCAGATCAGTCAGTGCTTCCTGAACCAAACTTGAATTTTTAGAAATTCAAACAAGTGAAAACAAACAGGTCCGTATAAGTTGTGGGAACTTTTTTTCTTTTCTTTTAAAAGATTATTTATTTGACAGAGAGAAAGCACAAGCAGGGGGAGCAGCAGACAGAGGCATGGGGAGAAGCAGGCCCCCTGCTGAGCAGGGAGCTCAATGCAGGGCTCCATCCCAAGACCCTGGGATCATGACCCGAGCAGGAGGCAGACTAAGCCACCCAGGTGCCCCGGTGGGAAGGCTTTTTGTGTTAACAATAATACAGTGCATATCTAGGAGGTACCCACAAGGACATCCTTAAAACTTGATAGTGCTACTTAGAACACATTACCATTCTCCTGCCCAGAGATAAGTGGAAGAGTGTTACAAACCAGTTTTGTCAAGCTTCTTTACAATTTGGGGTTCTTTTTTAGTTTGAGAGTGAGCGAGAGAAAGTATGAGCCGGGGGAGAGGCAGATGAAGAGGGAAAAGCAGACTTCCTGCTGAACAGGGAGGCCATTGAAGGGCTTGATCCCAGGACCCTGAAATCATGACTTGAGCCAAAGGCAGATGCTTAACAGACTGAGCCATTCAGGCACCCTTGGGTCTGATTTTTTTTTTTAATTTTTTTTGGTCTGATTCTTTACACTGGAAATTTTAGTTCTCTTTATTACCTATCTACATATTTCCTAAAGCTAGAGTGACTTATCAACTGGAATTTTGTCGTTGATGAATGTCATTGGTCTTCTCCCCTTTCTGGCTAACCACAAGCTGGTTTCATGATTCAAAATTGGGAAGCTTGTTCTTATCTCACAGCAAGGACTGGTTAGTTAGCTGATTTCAGATTTAAATGGGCGGGGAGGGGAGGAGTTGGGGACCTGTAAACAAGGATGAAAACTGGAACCCAAAAAGGAGATAAACCATGGAGTTAGTTGGTCTCAAGAGAGACAGTCTAGGGGCACCTGGGTGGTTCAGTTGGTTAAGTGACTCTTGATTTCGGCTCAGGTCATGATCTCAGGGTCCTGGGACTGAGCCCCACCTCAGGCTCTATGCTCAGCGTGGAGTCAGCCTTGTCCATCTCCCTCTGCTCCTCCTCCCACCCCCACTCCCCCCACTCCAATGCTTCCTCTCTAAAATAAAATCTTAAAAACAAAACAGTCTAGATCTTTGAGCATGCAAAGGGTCAGGACATGGAAAGAAATTTGATCTCTAGGGATGCCTGGGTGCCTCAGCAGTTGAGCATCTGCCTTTGGCTCAGGGCCAAAGGCAGTGATCCCAGAGTCCCAGGATCGAGTCCCGCATCAAGCTCTTTGCATGGAGCCTGCTTCTCCTCCCTCTTCCTATGTCTCTGCCTGTGTCTCTCATGAATAGATAAAATCTTCAAAAAAAAAATTTTTTTGATCTCTATTTTCTACCACTGGCAGAGAAGGACATGCCTAAAATTCCATAAGAAACCTTGAAATTGGGATCCCTGGGTGGCGCAGCGGTTTGGCGCCTGCCTTTGGCCCTGGGCGCGATCCTGGAGACCCGGGATCGAGTCCCACGTCGGGCTCTCTGCATGGGGCCTGCTTCTCCCTCTGTCTGTGTCTCTGCCTCTCTGTCTCTCTCTCTGTGACTATCATGAATAAATAAATAAAAAATTAAAAAAAAAAAAAGAAACCTTGAAATTTAAATTACAATAAAAATTTCTAACAGTAAAGTCTTTATTATTAACACTTAGTTTGAATAAGTGGTCCCTCTTTGGAATGATATGGACTAAGAGAGACCTTGATTAGTGTAGTTGGTTTATAGCCAACTTTGTCTAGCAGCAAAGGGGAAGGATGGAATATGCTTTTAAGGCCCTGCCAGCCCTGAATTTTTAGTAAAAAGAAAGGCCTTCCTTTGTGATATGAACAGGGAAGAAAATAATGTATTTAAGTCAGCCGCATCAAATATCAGCAAGTGCTTTTCTATTATAAGCACAAAAAGATGGCAAATCAGTGACTGGTGAGTAGCCCTTACCCAAAATATGGCCTGACCTCTGAGAAACCTACCAGGGATTCTAGGTCATAAATTTTATACAGTTGGGTTTACCACAGTCATAATCCTACTCCCTAAACTATAGTCATTTGAAATGACAGGCTTATTTCTCAATCAGTATTTTCAACCAGGCCATTTTCCTCATGTAATCTAGATCCTCACCCCTACTCCCATCAGTTTTTTCAGAGTTTGACTGGTTCCAAGGTTTCTATTAGACTGTCTTCCCATCCTCCCACTCCTAACTACCCCAGCTGCCCCTTGTATCCTTGCCAACTGAACCTCTTGGCATCATTTTCCTCACTCCCACTGCTATCTCCACATCATCCTCCACCTACTAAGTCTGCAATAGTCTACTTCCATCTGCCACTTTCTCTCTCTCTCAATCCTATTGCCTTAAGAGCTCACCTCTCCCAGGGAGCCTTCCTTCATCAAGACTAAGGCCTCTACAACAGACACCACCTAACCCTGATGTCTAATCTATCCCCAATTTTTTTTAAAGATTTTATTTATTCATAGAGTAAAAGAGAGAGAGAGAGAGAGAGAGAGAGAGAACAGGGCAGAGGGAAAAGCAGGCTCCATGCAGGGAGCCTGATGCGGAACTCAATCCTGGGACTCCAGGATCACACCCTTGGCTGAAGGCAGGTACTAAACCGCTAAGTCACCCAGGGATCCCCTATGCCAAATTTTTAGAACAGGAACTACCTTTTAGGAACAAGAGGCAATCCCTTTATAATCAAGTAGGGGTGATGGTGGTGGCAGAGCACAATTTCAAAGAGATACGATAATGCAAAGAAAAGATGGCATTTCCACAAGCCACCCTTTTTCAAGATTGAAGTCTTCTAATTCCCTCAGATCCTAAGAGTTTCCTTTTCATTTGCAACCCCAGATAAGCATGCTTGCCTTTTACTTAAGATTTTATTTATTTATTCATGAGAGACACACAGAGAGACAGAGGCAGACATAGGGAGAGGGAGAAGCAGGCTCCATGCAGGAAGCTGGATGTGGGACCTGATCCCTGAACCCCAGGATCACTCCCTGAGCCAAAGGCAGACACTCAACCACTGAGCCACCCAGGCACCCCAAGCATGCATATTTAAATGAGGCAAAAAGTTTGAACAAATACTTCCAACAAAGCCTATAATATTTTAATTAGATATGTTGAATGTTGAAAGAATTAAAGAATCACTCAGCTCCTGGAGGCAATTTATACAATTTTGAAGTTATTTCTATATACAGTTTTGTTTCTAACAGAAACGGGATAACCATGACTTTGCATTTAGTTTAATTGTGGAATGGTGTGAGGATCAAGTTTCAGACATGGTGGGGTTACTCACCCTCATATCTAGTCAGTCCCATATATGAAACTGCTTTACTTTTGTTTTAAAAGTAGCTTTTATTCCAGGCTAACCTGTTACCATTAAGAAATTATGGTTCAGGTCTTAATCCAAGCAAAGCCGAGGTTAGTTGTGTCATCTCCATCCTCAGGGGCCTGGTATTCTGGGAAACTCAGGGTAAGGACAGGGTAACTCCAGGACACACGTTAGCAGAGACAGCGCAGCATGATGAGGCGGGCATTCGACACCCTAAGTGTGCTTTAGTTACCAGAATACTTGACACACCCACAAATTAAGTAAAAAACATTTTAATCCATTAATTCTAAAAATAACAGAGACATTTTATATCCGGTGCCACCTCCTCAAAAATCTACTGCAAATTCGACAGTCAGACTGCAAAGTACAAAGCCAGACATTAAAGGGAAAGACATAATTTGGGACGAGACCATCAGGGAGAGATTTTCCTCCCATTTGCTCATAAACGTAAGCTGTCAGTTTAAAAAAATCCTCAGAAGGAGAGAGAAAGCTTTCTCATGCTCTATAACCCTTTTCTTTATTTTAGATCTTTCCGTAACATTTGAAGGCAAAACATATAATGAGAAAACCAGCCTCCTAAGTACAAAGATGTGAGCTGGACTCCCAGGACTAAAGATTGGTTCAAGTTCTATTTCTACCAACACTCTGATGTGAGGTACTATGGTTCTTGTTTTAGTTACAAGAGGTGTTGAGAATAAAGGCCCACTCACATTTAATAATAGCTTATCTAGCACATAACTGCCGCACAACACCAACAACAGAAGTGTTTTAAAGTGGGGTGGAGAAGAAAGTAGATGTTAATACAACTTAGGGTTTCCTTTGTCCTTCCTCTTTTTACAACAAGAATTCAGCTCAGAAATGAAATTCTCCAGAATGCCCATGCTGTTGTTTGGCCCAGCACATTCCAAACTTGTGATTTCTGATCCCAAGCCCTCAGAGCCTTAGGCTTTAGTGATGTATCCTTCTCGGATGAGGAAATCATAGATTTTCCGGGTTTTGTTCACATCTATCTTGATGAGTGCTCTCGCCTGTGCCAGTCTTAAGCCTCCTTGCTTGTTACATTCGTTCAACAGAGCAGATTTGTATTCTAAATAGGCTCCTGGGACCAACCTCACCATCTGACAGAGCTGCAAGACATGGCAAATTTAATAAACATTAACATCTGTCATTCTCATAATTTAATCCAGTAGGTATAGCCAAAATAAAATTTAAAAAGTGACATCAACCTCCAACTATTTATAGGAGCTGCTGGGTGGCTGGACCACATTCCATTTAGTTTCTTCCTTGGAGAGAATATTCCCTGACAACAGACACTCAGGAAGAGAAAACCAGAGTCTGATGCTGGGAGGGACTTTAGCACGTGTCAGCTGGCTCACCTGGGTTTGTCAAGGAGCACAAGTATGTGTCCTGAGCAGCAGCCTGGGTCCACAGAGCTCTCAGTCCAGCACATTCCAACATAGCCAGTCACAGAAGAGCCACAGGGCATAGTAGGGGCGGGGGTGCAGATACTCAGATTCCCAAGTGTGAATCACATTTTTTAGTATCAGCATAAAGTAGCTGTCACTGCTTTTGTGATTACATTTCCTACTTTGAAGGAGGAGGAGATACAGAGACCTCATGAAGAGGCTACTTCAGCTGCTAAAAATCTAGAAAGCTGGCTCAATCCCAGTCCACCTGCCATGGCACCCCACAACAATGAGCGTGAGGTCACTGTTTGTGGGTAAGGATAAATACTGCTTGAAACTCTGGGCCACTTAATACTTGACTCAGAAAGGCCCGTGACCTTCATCAGCAATAGTAGTTCCTCAACTGTTTCCTGGGGGAACAGTAAATAAAAGACTAAAACAGCCCCTACTCCATGACTCCCCTTACTGTCTGACCTACTAATGATATGGAGTGGCAGATGGGAAGACTGATCTTGGGAATCGTAAAAGGAGCACATGAAGAACAGAAGAGGGTTGCTCTTTTGGAATGGACTTCAGAGCTATGCACATTTTTTTTTTTTTTAAATGCTTGAGGATGACCCTTTTGAGGCAGCCAAAAGTAGTATGAAGACAAGTCTGATGATTTTAGTGGAAAAGAAAAGTAGGTCATGGCATTTTTAATCAATATTAGTATATGACTATATGTGATGATAAAGTCCTTTCTTCATGACTTACATGTATGCTATGGAGACAATTCTAAAAATCTTTTAAGTCATGGTTATATTGTTGGAATAATGTAGAGCTTATCAAAGTGACCATTCTAACAGGAAATGACCATTTTCATATATGAGATACTGTAGGTTTATAAATTTACAATTTCATTCACATGAAGCACTTAGTACTAAGTATCTGGTACATGGTAATGCTCAATAAATGATAGCTGTCATTATTTAGATTTATATATACTAATCATTCTAATCTCTCTCTCCTCTAGCTCCCCCCCCCTTTTTTTTTTACCTCCTTTTCTTTTTCATTCAGCTTCTCTGTGCCAGGGAGGCCAGTGAGGTTCAAGGGTGGTGCACTTCGTCTACCTACAGACACAGAAAAAGGTATGTATTTCATAGGAGTGACAATTCCTCAAGTGTGAAGTAACACAGTCTACTGCAGCCAGGCTAATTACATGGTCACCACGCCCAGCTGTAAGAAATCTCTACCCATCACCCCAGGCCTCAGTCCAGTTGGCAACATGGGGACCCCAATGTTCACCTGAAATTACTAATGGTAATTCATGTGCCCTTTGCTCTGCTAAAATACACAATCACTTATACCTTAGCAACCCAGTTGCTACTCTTTCTGACCCAGTAAGATTCTAAATTCTAAAGCCCAGATGTCACCCAGTGAATAAAGGTCATATGCTACCAATCCTGACAGCTGATGAATGGAAATAACAAGTCCACAGGAGAGACACTTCCCAGCCCTCACCACTCTGCCAGGAGCAGGAGGCAAACACGGTAATTAACCACATACCATTTGCCTTCAGATCAAAGGCAGACTGTTAGGCCAGCAAAAGGCCCTTCTTATTTATTATGTGAGGGAATATCTGTTCCTTCCAAAGTAGCCTGTTTACCTGAAAGATCCACTCAGAGGAACAATGAGCCATTATATGGCAAACCAGAAGCTGAGGTGTACTCACATACTGAGAAAGAAACCCAAGCATGAGGTCACTGCCCAGGATGGGAAGTTTGATGCACAAATTTTTTTGCTTTGGTTTTGAATGTATATTTGGAGTTAGTGTTCAGTTGGGAGATAGGTGGGCTGAGTTAGGCAAAAGAAGATGTAGAATCATTTTTAACAAGTTTCATGGGGGTTGCCTTTCAGGGGGTGGAGAGAAATAGGGAGGGACTGTTACAGGCTGCTCTGCTAGAAAACAGCTTCTCTGTGGAATCAATAAAGGGATAAGGGCTTTTCCATAGCCAATAGGCCTGGCCTTCCTCTAAATGCTCAAAAAGGGAGACTAAAATCATTTGGTATCTCACCAAAGTTACTAGAGGCTAGGTTGTAACAAATGATCCAGGATTGCTACTTTGCACTGCCTGAGGAGTAGCTGAGAACAGAAGGAGGAGGAAGGGGTCTCCTCAACCTAAATACAGGGGATGAGAAAGGCTGACACCTGCTGAGGAAGCCACAAAGAATAAATGAGTAGAGATGGTTCAGAAAACACAAGTACCATTATTAGTTATCACTGTTACTATATTTGTTATTCTATTTCTGTATTTAGACTCGGGGTGCAGAGTTAGAAGTAACTTGTAAAATAAAGTTTGGATTTAGCTGTCCTGACCACTCTCTAAAAGACTTTTTCTCTTTTAAGTATTAAGAAATAACCACCTGAAACAAAGGAATCATTTTTAAAAAAAGTATTCCTAAAGTAGCCTTCTCTGAGCCCTGTCTAGATGCTGAATCTGAGATATTTTGAATGGGATCACAAAGTTTATTGTTTCAAGTTTCCAAAGAATGGTAAAACTGCAAGTGGGTCACCTTTTTCACTAGGCCAGTCTCTACAGGGGAGTGGTCTGTATGTTCTGATACGGGAAAGTGGCTAATCTAGCATATGGAGCAGGGATGAATAATAACTGGCAAAGAAACACAACAATTTTGGATCAGAGCTCTATAACTCACACCACCTCAAATTACCATTCATCGATTATCAAGCATCAAGGATTGCCAGATAACATATGACTTCAGCTGGCTCTGGAAACTAACTTCAAAATAAAGGGCATACCCAAACAGGTAATAATAACAGAAATACCTCAAGTCTCTAACTTATAAAGAAATCCTTGTCTTTCTGCTTAGCATACAAAGGCTTTAATTTATCCTGTGAGACAAATCTCAAAATCTGTGGTAAATACAACCACAACAAACTGCTCATTGGTAAAAAAGAAAACACCTCTCTGGAGCTCTTTCTTCCCTGTCTCTGAACTCAAACCCTGATGATAATCCCTATCTGGCCATGATGATTCTGAAAACTTGCTGAGGTTTACATACTGGGATACACTTACTCACTTACCTGCTCTGCCTAAGCACTCTGCTCCCACAAGGGGAAGGAACTACTGAAAATGTGATAATCAAGACTTGCTCTAGCCTAAAAAATAATTACCTGAATTCGAAGCCATCGGAACAGAAGGGCTCAGGCCAGAATCACTAAAACAAAGAAGAGGAATTTAAAACTTATGTCACACCAAAGAAGGCCATTTCCAAAAGCCCATGTGGGACTGGGTGTCATTTATCCAGTTGGTTACTTTAAAGGGATGCAGAGATACCCCGCTATACTAACCAGGAAGTGTCATCTGTAATATGGCGTGTAAGAAATCACTTGGATTTGTTAAGAAGAGCTCTTAATCTGGAACATCCATGGAGACTATGGACAGGGACATGATTTGCCAATTGAAATAGTTCTAATAGATAATAGCGGGGAGAGAGGAAACATGGGGGAGGAGTTTACTAATTTTTTTATTTGAAAAGAGGGTGAGAGAGAAATTTACTAATTTATTTATTTGAAAGAGAGAGAGAGAGAGAGCACAAGCGGCAAAGAAGAGCAGGGGGAGAGGAGAAGCAAACTCCCTGTTAAGCAGGGAGCCCAACCCAGGGCTCAATCCCAGGACCCAGAGATCATGATCTGAGCCAAAGGCAGATGCTCAACTTGAGGCACCCTGCAATTTACTAATTTTTAAAAAGAAGATCAAAGTTAGCAAAGAAGGCCAGCTATGTTTCTCAAAACTGTCAGTACCACAGTGTTTCTGAGATAAGACTGCTAAAATTAGAATTTGGAGTTTTTCTAGTTATCCAATCATTACTACTCTGCCATGTGGGTAGGGTACCCATGGAAATGTCTGAAACTACATGGAAAAGCCAAAGCATCTAAGAAGATGCTCATCCTCCCTGTACTAGTTACTCACATGTCAGCTTGCCGGCGGAGCCACTGCTGGCAAGCACTGCTGTCCTGGATGTACTGGAGAACTTCAGAGAGCATGGTGCGTTTAAGGCGCTCCTCCTCTCGAGTCTTCTTGAGGTGATCGTAGGTTCTGGCACCTGAGTGTAGATAACAGCATGACTGCCAATGACAACACAGCAGAGCTAACTGAAGGGCTTTCTAACTGACCAGCAATTCGCCTTTTTGGGGTTTCCTTTGTAAAACTGCTTCCCTGGCATCTGGGTGGCACAGTCAGGTAATCTTGGTTTTGGCTCAAGTTAAGATCACAGGGTCACAGGAATGAGCCCCATGTGGGACTCTGCGCTCGATGGGGAGTCTGCTTGAGATTTTCTCTCTCTCCCTCAACTGCTCTCACTCTCTCTAAAATAAATCCTTAAAAAGATAAAACACAATGGAATTGGGATGCCTGGGTGGCTCACAGCCGTTGAGCACCTGCCTTCCGCCCAGGGATCGAGTCCCACATCGGGCTCCTTACATGAAGCCTGCTTCTCTCTCTGCCTATCTCTCTCTCTCTGTGGGTTTCTCATGAATAAATAAATAAAATCTTAAACACACACACACACACACACACACACACACACAATGGAATTGACAATTATTCTTCTCTTTCAACCACTAGGTACAGCTGTGCAATGTGGCTACAGATACTCGCACTAACTCCAGGTCACTCATGTGGGTCTAGGTGATTTTTTGGTTTTTTAAAAGATTTTATTTATTTATTTATATTTATTTATTTATTTATTTTATTTATATTTATTTATTATTTATTTATTTATTCCAGGATCACGACCTGAGTCAAAGGCAGAACCACTGAACCACCCAGGCGCCCCAAAAAGATTTTATTTATTTTTTTAAAGGTTTATTTATTGAGAGACAGCGAGAGAGAGAGAGCATGAACAGGGGGAGGGGCAGTGTAAGAGAATCTCAAGCAGGCTCCATCCACACTGAGCATAGAGCCCCATGCCAGGCTTGATCCCATAACCATGAGATCATGACCTGAGCTGATATCAAGGGTCTGATGCTTAACTGACTGAGCCACCCAGGTGCCCCCATTTATTTATTTAAGAGAGAGAAAGAAAGATTGAGGATAGGGGGAGGACCAGAGAGGGAGGGAGAAAGAAACTCAAGCGGACCCTGCACTGAGGGAGGAAGGTAGACAGAGGGCTCTATCTCAAGACCCTGAGATCACAACCTTAGCTGAAACCAAGAGTTGTATATTCAACCAACTGAGCCAACCAGGTGCCCCCTATAACTATTTTTTTAAGAGCAACATGATTTCCCCTAGTTTGAAATCCCTTTTTTGACAAGAAATGATTATTATTTGTATTCTCCTTCTAGCTTTAAGAAATTTGGGAGCAAAAGCCCCAAAACAGAAAAGTACCAAAAAAGTTAAGAGGCACTCATGATTCTACCCCCCAAAAGTAATTAACTCTTAATACTGTCATATTTGCTTCCTGTCTATTTTTTTGTTTTTCAAAAGTTACACAAGTGCTATATACATATATCCTCTTCCTTAAAAACCAATTAAAATTACAAATAAAAACAAGTTCTAAAATAAATAAATAAATAAATAAATAATAAATAAAAATAAAAACAAGTTCTCATTGACTAGCACTATTCCTTTCCCCTCTTTCCTAGACACAACCAGTATCAGGTAATCAAAACCTGGTATGAGTGTCTTATTAAACAAAGGTTGCATGGTATCTTCACGTTAACAAAGGTGTACAAATTCCAAAGTACCACACCAATGAGTTTCAAACCATGGTACATAAAGTCCTAAGATACAATGAAAATACCTCAGGGGTTACTGTGAAGAACAAAGGCACCACCATGTACTGATGGTTCTGGGTTCTATGTATGACCTGAACCATCAAACTTCAAAGTAGTTCCACTTTCATCTTACTTATAGATTAGGGCTCTATGTAAAATTTCATTTTGAAATGGTTTCATTAAAAATAATCATTACATTAGATTGAATTTACACCCAAGGCTACTCCCCATGGGTAGTAGGTGATAGCTTTCAACCAACAGGAAGGAGGGAATGCTAAATATCTTTCCAATAAAACAAGAGAAACCACCACTTATTGAGCATTTACCTATTGCCAGGGACTGTGCTGTTTTTATGCATTATCTCTAACTTAATCGTTTTACTAACTCTAAGAGACTTGAAAAATTGCAACTTGAACAGAATTACAAATCTGGTAAATAGGAGAGTCAGAATTCAAACCCAACCTACCCAAGTCTAGACCTCAAGCTCTTAACTACTCTAATACACTGCTGTCCTTTATGACCTGGCTCTATTACAAGTATCTCTTTAGCCATTTCAAGCCTTAATTTCTTCATTACACAGAAATAACAATGCCTATCTCAAGTTTGTTAAGAGAATCAAATGATAACATTCAGGGGAAATGCTAAATGTTGGGCCTGGTGTATGGTAAATTTCTATCTAGATGTTAGCTGCTATTAATATAATAATTATTACTACCTCAAGTAACTGGGATGCAAGCACATAGAGCCATTTGAAGCTTAGTTAATACAAATGATCAGGGCAGCCCCGGTGGTGCAGTGGTTTACCACCGCCTGCAGCCTGGGGTGTGATTCTGGAGACCCGGGATCGAGTCCCACATCAGGTTTCCTGCATGGAGCCTGCTTCTCCCTCTGCCTGTGTCTCTGCCTCTCTCTCTCTCTCTCTAAATAAAAAAAATAAATAAATCTTAAAAAAAAATACAAATGATCAGACCATGCATCACAAAATTTTAAAAGACTGAGGCTAAAAATTAGAACACAAAATCCCTTTTTTTTGGGGGGGGGGTGGGGGGCCACAGCAGATTCTCAAATCTAAAGGAGCACCTCTCTTTTGTTATCACTCTTATTTTACCTGAGATGATCCATATAATGGAATTTATAAGAATTAAACAGATGAGACTTTACCGGATAGATCACTCATTCCCAAAAGGGAAAGCTTGTTTTAAAAAAACCCACATCACTTCAAACAGAGACTTCCTCTTTGTGTTTAGAAGAGACTTGCCCCCCAAACAATGTGTAGCTTAATAAGCACACTTACTACAAAAATTGGTGATGCCTGCCGTCCTGTATTCCTGGAGCCTCTTGATTTCCCTTCGGAGTTCAAATTCCACTGTTTATCCCAAAAAGAATGAAGGAGAAAAATTGGAAAAACAAAATCATCATCAATAAGCACTGGTGCTGTTGAGTATTTTCAGTAATACTGCCTTATACAAAAGACAGGGCAATTCCATGTGAGGAATCCTATTATGTTAGTGACATCTCATTAGAAATTTTACTCAAGAACTGAGAAAAATCTACTGTAGCCATCTTTTCGCTGCCATCTCCAACTGGAAAAAGCAGCTGGAATTGTCTCCCAGAAAACATACAGTAAACTGGCTGAGTTCATTTAGCTACAGAAGTAACAAATATAATTTTCTTAAACAACTAAGTTTCCCTGCTCTATTTATCCTCTAATAACAGTTTTATCCACATAACCAAATTCTTTTGTAAAACCTGTCTCTGCTATTACTTGATGTGGTCCTTTTGCAAGCAAAAGACAAAAGCTCTGTGCTCAAGTCCTAGATAGTTTCTTTACAGCTTTTCTCCTATAGGAACAAAAGAGCATTGTTTTCCATAGACCAAAGATTTCTTCCTCCTCTGAGTGCACAGATCAGGTTGCAACTACTTGGGTTATTATGCGATAGAACATTCAAATTTGAGTGCTTTGAAACAGAGGATGAAGGAAGAGCCTGGACAATCCATTGGGTGTAGTTCTTTAGAGTGACACATAAACCAGGGATGGCACAAATTGGGACAGGAAGTAAAAGATCAGTCACCTAGTATAAATCACAAAAAGAATGCCAACCAAACAGGGTGTTTGTTGAGGACAACCGACCTGGCTCAGATAAATGCCTACAATGTCATGCAAGAAATATTTGCATGATGAGAACAGGACAAGAGCCCTGGTAAAGCATTTTCCCCAGGACTAAATTTGAGGGTCAAATACACAAATCTTGTGATGAAAAGGTATAGACTAAGCCACTTGTCCAAATTATTTTAAAATGTAAGCCTTAGGGCCTTAACAAACTTTAATTTTTTACAGTGAAAAATCAAATGGTAACTGGGTAGAATTCTCTCAGACAGGCAAAAAAAATGGCAGAAGCACTGGGGTGCCTGGCTGGCTGAGTCAGTTGAGCATGGACTCTTGATTTCAAGCCCCAAAGTCTGGGATTTGCTTCAAAATAATCCAGTTGAGGGTGAGAGAAGAGGGGGTGAATAAAAATGAAAGTGGATTGGCCATGTATTAATTGCGGAGCTGGGTGATAGTTACATGGGGGTTCATTACACTATTATCTCTACCTTTGTATATATTTGAAAACTCCCATAATAAAAAGTGAGGGGAGAAACTACTAAACTACTGCTTAGCTGAGAAAAAAGAAAGCTACTGGGCTTTTTAACTCCTTCTCTTCCAACCCTGAAGTCCCAAATTTACTTCAAGGTAATAAAGGGGAAGAGAAGACAAAAATATCCATTTATTTATTTATACAACTTCACCTAAAACATACCATTTTGTCTATTTATATCAACACACACAAACACAAATACTTGCACAAGGGTTAAAAAGCACCTACGTGCATGGCTTTCAATGAACTTGTCGTGCTCCACTGGCCCCACTATCCTTGCAAATCGCCTCATTGTTTCGTAAAGGTCTTGGACTTCCTTGGGATACCGTCGTTCCATTACTACAGAAAAAATAAAACACGACCATGCCATAGAAAAAATAAAAATCTCTACGTTCTCATTAAATGGAAGGACACTATTCCTAACCTGACTAATTTACCCATGACAGGAAGCAAACAGGAAAGCCAACAATGCAAAACACTAATCATAAAGATAACAGCATCACAGTGACTATCACATAGGGATATTGTAATTCCTGGAGAACTGAAGATCATCTGCATTACTGAGCAGCCTGTGACCTCCACACCTCAGTCTCTTAATTTGTACAGGGGCAGGGACTGCTGGTAGTAATGGGAAAGACAAAGGTAGATCATGCATTTTTAGGAACAATGTTGGGCAAAATTTCTGGTATTAACTTCTGCAGGAAAACAAGGGAAATGCAGACACAATAATCCATCTAGAAGAGGTAGACTAGCCTATAAAAAATGTGTGATCTCTTCCATATCTACTAGGAATCTCCTTACCAACACAACCTCAAGTGAGACATTTATTTCTTCACTCTCTATAAGGGTCGTTTTGCCTTCCTCTAAGTACCACAACTTAATTTACTACTAATGAAATTATATTTTCATAACTATCATCCAAGTAAATGGTCATATATACAGGGTAGCCACAGTCAGTAACTCTGAGGATCACTAAAGACCACACCCCCCCCCTTTTTTAAAGATTTTATTTGTTTATTCATGAGAGAGAGAGAGAGGCAGGCAGACGGAGAAGCAGGCTCCATGCAGGGAGCCGGATGTGGGACTTGATCCCAGGTCTCCAGGATCAGGCCCTGGACTGAAGGTGGCGCTAAACTGCTGAGTCACCTGGGCTGCCCTAATGACCACATTCCTAATAAAAAGTACTATCAGCAAAGAAGATGGGGAGTAAAACCTACCAACAATAAGTGGTAGGTTGGAGTAGCCAGGAACTGCTACTTGGTTATTTCATTCAGATAAACTAAGCTGAAACTTATTAGGTGAGTTAATCAGTAACTAAGCTAGTTCTGCTCACTTCTAGACTATAGATACATGCTTTCCACTATGATAGTTATCCTCTTGGGCAGCCCAGGTGGCTCAAGCAGTTTAGCACTGCCTTTGGCCCAGGGCCTGATCCTGGAGACCTAGGATCGAGTCCCACGTCAGGCTCCTTGCATGGTGCCTGCTTCTTCCTCTGCCTGTGTCTCTGCTTCTCTCTCTCCTCTCTGTGTATTCTCAGAAATAAATAAAAAAAATCTTTAAAAAAAATAAATAAAGTCCTTTTTTCAGCTGAATCTCTTCCCTTGAAAGAGAGATTCTTATCCACAAAGTTCAGGCATTGATTTCATGGGCAGCCACTGATTATTTTCACTACCAAAAAACCCCCCACAACCAAAAGCAAAAAAACACCCTACAAGGATAGTACAGAAGAATTAGGAGTAATAATTTTAAATTTGATGGAAAAAAATCCTCTGCCTACAATATTAAGGTCACATACACTCACTATAATGGCAATTGAAACCTCTGAAACCACACTGCGAAGCAACAGAGCCTCCTCTCAGCTCTATATGAACAAAATACAGTTAATAATCAGGCTAAACTGGGAAGCCTGGGTGCTTCAGCAGTTTAGCACCACCTTCAGCCCAGGGCGTGATCCTGGAGACTCGGGATTGAGTCCCAGGTCAGGCTCCCTGCATGGAGCCTACTTCTCCCTCTGCCTGTGTCTCTGCCTCTGTGTCTCTCATGAATAAATAAAATCTTAAAAAAAAAAAAAATCAGGCTAAACTGACCTCTCTTTACCAGCTGAGAATAGAACTTATGTGAAAGTCAAGGTCTACAATGAGTAAAGGTCAAAACCCTATTGATCTTTGATTGAAAGCCCAGGCATTCAGACACAGGAACCCACTTCTGTAGCTACCAGAATATGATCAATGATTGTCTATAGAAAGAGCAATGAAATCTGATCCTCAGTTATTTTTGCAAGCCAACAGTTCTCAATGAGGATGAAGTTAAACAGGCAAGGAAATGCTAGAAGGAATATAAATCGATAGAACCATCTTTTGGAAAGCAATCTGGTAGCATATGTCAAATGTTTTTAATGATCACCTTCTTTGAACTATTAACTCTACTTTTAAGAATCTACCTTAAAAAATATTCTAAATATATATAAAGTTTTATTCACAAATTCATCATAGGATTATTTATAAAGATTCAAAAAACTAAAAATATACTAAATATCTAGTAATATGTTTAGCAAATTATATACTTACATATATATAAATATACAATATATTATGTAACTATTAAGAGTGACATCTTCAAACCACTATCATTGGAAAAAGTGTAAATGGAAAGTGAAAAAAAAAGTAACATACTTATTTATGATCACAATTATATTAAAAAAACACTTAACCCATGACTGGCTGACCTGAACCCTATAATGGCACAGGGCGCCAAACTCTATTGGATTCTATCAACTAGGATACGAAGGACAATAATCATTAGGTACTTTTACAAAAAAAGATTACTACGACTTAGAAATATTATAAACATTTCTATATAAATATTGTAATTATTATAAGATCATCATTCTTACTTGCTAAACAAACTCTAGAGTGTAGAAGAAGAAAAAGTACAGGGATACTTTCTGCTCAGCCCTAGGTATCTTCAATACTTAAAATAGTAAGGTCAAACAAAGTGTGCATTCACTTAAAAGTCATTATAGTTTTACTATCACCATCAGACAATGCTAGATGTCTTATAATTGTTTGTCCACTACTATGCAAAATAGAGGTTGCCTTTTCAATAAAAATGTTTTAACAACCTGATGATCAAGGTTATGTTATGTTTAACATATAGTTCCTACCCAGTTCCAGAAAATGATCCATTAATATTTATGCTGTAATTAAATTATACTACTTTTTAAGAAAGGAATTATCATATAAGTGTTGATCATATGTTAATGGTTTTGAGCTCTCACTATGTAACATAATTGCCTTGATGATTTCTTAAAAATAAAGATATTCAGCCCTGGGTGGCTCAGCAGTTTAGTGCCGCCTTCAGCCTGGGGCGTGATCCTGGAGACCCAGGATTGAGTCCCATGTCGGGCTCCCTGCATGGAACCTGCTTCTCCGTCTGCCTGTGTCTCTGCCCACCCCCCGCCTGTGTCTCTCATGAATAAATAAGTATAATCTTTAAAATAAAATAAAATAAAGATATTCTAGGACTAACTCTTAGAGATTCTGACCTAATTAGTCTTGGGTGATACCTAGGCAACAAATATATATATATATTTATATTTATTTATTTATTTCTCGAATTTTTAAAAGTTTCCTGCATGATACGCTGGAGCACCTCACTGGCTCAGTCAGTAGAGCACATGACTCCTGATCTTGGGGTACTGAGTTCGAGCCCCACATTGGGTATGGCAATTACTTAAAAAAAAAAAAAAGCTATATACAAGATGCTAATATGCAACTTGGATTAAGAACTACTGATACAGGGGTGCCTGGGTGGCTCAGGGGTTGAATGTCTGCCTTTGGCTCGGGTTGTGATTCTGAGGTCCTGGCTTCGGGTCCTGCATCGGGCTCCCCGCAGGAAGCCTGCTTTTCTCCCTCTGCCTCTGTCTCTGTCTCTGTGTCTCTCATGAATAAATAAATAAAACCTTAAAAAAAAAAAAGAACTACTGCCATAAATGATTTGTTCAAAACTGTTCAATAATGTTGGAAGATAATTTAAAATAAAGCAGCTAATACTTACACTGAAACTTTCTAAGGTTGATTAATCCATGGTCTCTTATAATTCTAGGATGAAAACAACAATAATGTTTATTATAATTAGTTTCACAACTAATAATGTCCTCCACATGCAGCTTTTACTAGACATCTGAAACACTATGAAGTGGAATACTCGGGTTCAAATTTATCACTCCTTACAGAGTTCTGAAGGGTGGTAAGTCTGCTAACACTGGGATCCCTGGGTGGCTCAGCAGTTTAGCGCCTGCCTTCAGCCCACGCCTGGGATCAAGTTCCACGTGAGGCTCCCTGCATGGAGCCTGCTTCTCCCTCTGCCTCACTCTGTGTCTCTCATGAATAAATAAATAAAATATTAAAAAAAAAAGTCTGCTAACACAATTTTAGGCTTTCAAGCAGCATATATTTTTCCTTTCCTTGGACATGGTAGATTCCCAGTAACTGTGCTGGATGGATAAGTGAGCACTCAAAAAAATTGAAAAACAGGGGGGGTGCCTGGGTGGCTCAGTCGGTTAAGCCTCTGTTTTCAGTTTGGGTCATGATCCCAAGGTCCTGGGATCAAGCTCCACGTCAGGCTCCCAGCTCAGCGGAGAGTCTGCTTCTCCCTCTCCCTCTCTCCCTGCTTATGCTCTCTCTCAAGTAAATAAATAAAATAAATTTTTTAAAAATTGAAAAACACAGGTATCCCTGGGTGGCTCAGCAGTTTACCACCTGCCTTTGGCCCAGGGCATGATCCTGGGGTCCTGAGATTAAGTCCCGTATCGGGCTCCCTGCCTGGAGCCTGCTTCTCCCTCTGCCTGTGTCTCTGCCTCTCTCTCGCTCTGTCTCTCATGAATAAATAAATAAAATCTTTTTAAAAAATTGAAAAACATGTCTATAACTTGGAATGACACAGAAGGGAATCTGTGTCTGTGTCATAAGAATTAATCTATTCGATTTAGGGAATTGAGAACAGTCATTTAAGAGAAATGGCTAAACCATAAAAGGGCACTGTGATCACATCCAACATTTACAAGTATACATGTTTACATTCACATAATGCTTTGAAGTTATTTGAAGTAAGTACTGTGCTGGTTTAATGGGAGGGCCTCAACATAAGATCTAACAGCAACCTCAACCACTGAGTTCCAAGATACTGTCTAGCTCAAAGTATGTTTTAAGCAAAACAGAATTTAAGTAAACCAGGCAGAGCTGTGGCTGGAACCTATGATTTGGATACCACAGGTATTCATGACTAGTAATGAAGCTTCTCACAGGGGCAGCTGGGTAATCTTTTCCAACACTTGTCAGAAGCTAACTTTCAGCATGCTTTACTTTAGGTCACATCTTGGTCTCGAGAGTGCCTCCCAAGTCCTATTCCACTTTTTTTGTTGTGATGCCAGTGTTTCCAGTAACACCCTGAGAACACACACACACACACACACACACACACACACACACTCTCTCTCTCTCTCTCTCTCTCTCTCTCTCTCTCTCATACCCCCAGCATACCCTTCCCTGAACTGTTAACTTAACAGTCTCTATAATAATTAGGCTCCTCTCTAACAGGGGTCTGGGATCCATAATTTCCCAGGCTGAATGTATGTTTTTTGTTCTGCTGCAAAGAGGAGGAGTAACTGAGAGTGTCTGAAACTTGTGTAAAATTTCTTTGAAATCCTTCTAGACAAGACTTCTCATAAAAGTGAGTAATTAGAATGAGAGCATTAAAAAAAGCATAACAATTTGATAACACCTTGAATTTATCTTTCTCCTTTTCTTTTTTCCTTAGTGTACCCATATTATCATAATAACATAAGATCATAACATAAGAGGGTAAGAAAGGGATCCCTGGGTGGCGCAGCGGTTTAGCGCCTGCCTTTGGTCCAGGGCGCGATCCTGGAGACCCGGGATCGAATCCCATGTAGGGCTCCCGGTGCATGGAGCCTGCTTCTCCCTCTGCCTATGTCTCTGCCTCTCTCTCTCTCTGTGTGTGTGTGACTATCATAAATAAATTAAAAAAAAAATAAAAAAAAAAAGAAAGAAAGGGTAAGAAAGGGCAGCTCTGGTGGCGCAGCGGTTTGGCGCCGCCTGCAGCCTGGGGTATGATCCTGGAGACCTGGGATCGGGTCCCGCAACGGGCTCTCTGCATGGAGCCTGCTTCTCCCTCTCCCTCTGCCTGTGTCTCTGCCTCTCTCTCTCTGTCTATGAATAAATGAATAAAAAAATCTTAAAAAAAAAAGGGTAAGAAAAACCCAAAAAAGGGAATTTTTTTAATAAGATTTTATTTATTTATTCATGAGAGACAGAGAGAGAGAGAGAGAGAGAGAGAGAGAGAGAGAGAGAGGCAGAGACACAGGCAGAGGGAGAAGCAGGCTCCATGCAGGAAGCCCGATGTGGGACTCAATCCTGGGACTCCAGGATCACGCCCTGGGCTAAAGGCAGGCACTAAACCGCTGAGCCACCCAGGCATCCCAAGGGAAAGTATTATTATCCCCATTTGACAGATGGATAAATTAAGGACCAAGGAAGATAAATGTCTTTCTTGAGGTCACAAGACAAACTACAAGTAGAATGTTCTTATGGGTTATATGTGGTCAGTAGTCCATAGCTGAAAGAAGGCAGCATGGTTTTCTGTACTTACTTTTTTCGCCTTTGTCTCTCCTTTAATCTGGAATGATAGATATCTACTACAGCCATCTTCAGAGCTAAAAACGAACACACACACACACACATAGATATAAAGCCAAGACAAAAATAAATCTTTTACCCAAACTGTCCTAAACTTTGACCTCATATTGCTAACTATTCCACACTCACTGGCTTAGGCAATTTGTCTCTTAGAAACAAAATATCTTACGATATCAAACTTCTTTGTCAGTAAATTACAGTGAAGTTCTTTTTTTCTAGGTATGTATTTATATGGCATTACCCTATAGACAATAATTTCTGCTTTCTACCGAACACCTCTTTTGGCCATGCCTTGTTATGTATATTACTAGGTTTCATATAACAGGAATCTGAACTTTGGTCATACAGGGTTAGAAATTGCATCTATTAGAGTAGTTATAAAAATGAATATTGACTGGGGGTTATAACCTCATAGGAGTTAGGTTCAGCAGACAATAACAAAAGAAGATTGATATGAATAAGGTACAGCAGCACTTTTCAGTTGGGGAGCAACAACTACTTAGGGGATAGTTTTGCATTCAGTAGTGAAAAGTTCTACTAAATGGCCTAACAACCCCAAAGCTATGCTCTGCTTTGTTGCCCACATCCCAGTCCTTTCCTGGCTTTAGTCTCCTATAAAAGACACAAGGAATTAGGAGAAAAGAGTCAGTAGACAGCAAAAGGTTTCATCAATATAATAGTTGTGGTTCTCTTTCTTTCTCTGGCCAATTTTTCCAGCTTCAGAGTTCCTCAGGGTTCTGTTCTCATCTTTCTTATCACCCTTCACTTTATTCCTAGAAACTTATCCACTTCTATGGTTCCACATACCATTGAAATATAATCTCAAATTCAGATATTTATTTTAAGCTCCAGACCCTATCTGGACATCTCTACTCACATGATCTTCAATTACAAACTTGTACTCTACCTCTTTTCCAAAACTCTGCTAAGACAGAAATCAGCCTGCCTGTCCCTCCCCTCCCTTCATATCCAGTCAGTGAATCTTACCTATATTGAATGCTTTAGTCTGTCTCAAATTCATCTCTTTGTCCCTAATCCTATTCCTTAGCTCAGGTATCTTGTCTCAATGAGATTACTGCATGTACTCACTTAATAACTCCATTCCTATCTTAATTCCAATTCAACCATTCAAATGGTACCAGGGTAATGTTTTTAAGCATAATCTGATGGTGTATTTCCTCTGCTGACAATTTTTCAGTGGCTTCCTATCCATTTACGGGAGTTCAAACCCTCACATGTTATATAAAATCCCTGATGTCTTGAATCTCCCTATCTTCCTAGGCTCGTTTCCTACCATTCTTTCATACACCCTATACACCATGTGTGTAAAACAATATGCCCTAGGTTGCAAAGCTGCTGAGTACAGAGCAGGGATCCAAACCCAGACAGTCTGGTTCTAGAGCCTTAGAGTAGGAAAGACATTGAAATTGCCCAACATGTTTACTTTCTCTGTGATAGTCCTATATGCTAAATCTGGCTTAACTAAAAATGATATGTGTGTTTAAAAAAAAATCAGAAGTAAACAACTCCCACAGGCTTTTTATTTATACTCTGAAGACCCTCTAAAGTTAGGAAATATAGACTAGCCACTAATAGCTCTAGAAGAAAATACGAGTACTACTTGATTTGGCACTGTGCTACATAAACCATTCTTAACTATAATCAATGGATTCTGAAGGAATCTTAAAATTTAGTGATTTTAGTAGATTCTGGAACTATCTTAATAACTTGTTATCCCCTTAGGCTTTGTGTAAGTTGAGAGTTTGATGGGTTTTAATTACTAAAATTATTCACAGAAGAAAGAGGCTCTAGAGCACAACAGAATAACCTGACATGCATCCTCTGAAAAACTAAAATATACTATTCAGATGTTAGGTAATAAAACTTAACGCAACAGCCGTGCAGCAAAGAATTTAGTTGTGACAATCACTTCTTCCACGATAGTGAGTTTCACTGAACCAAAATAGAGCCTAGAGCCTCTGTAATACTGATAAACAAAAAAAGCAATACAATCTCACCAGAAGGATGTGAGATACAAATTCAAGTTTAGCCCATGGGGGCAATGAGTCAACACAGATTTGCATGATCTCCTAAAGTAACTTTTAAACATTATTTTCAAATATGTTCTTATTTGAAATGCAAAAGTTAGATCAGCTTTAGCTGAACTACTCTCCCTATTCTACCTCCAGCTACCCTTGCCAGTAGTAGTCCCTGAGGGTACTTCCATGAACAGTTTGAAACTCACACTTTTGCTTCCTGAAACTAGATTTTAAGGTAGGAAAAAATGCAACGAACCAGGTAAGAGAACAGTACACAGTGGTTCATTACAATCACCAATTTCTTTCACTATATAAAAGCAACAAAAGCAGATTAATGTACAGTTCTGAGGTGCTGTCAATATGGTATCCCTGACAAGATAATAGAAATAAATTCTGGATACTCCATCCTGATTCATTACTGTACATCTCACTGCTACCTGCCCTCAGGATAGTCTCAGATTAGAAGGAAGAGATATCAAAATCTAACATGTGGGGCTCTGAGCAGATGCACTGTATATGTATATAACTTCAATCACTGGGAAATGACCAGGAATATTTTATCTAGGCCATTCTGCCTTGAGTCTGAGATAAAAATAACGCAAATTCTAGCTGGATGATCTGAAGAGAGTGGATGCATTATTTTTTTTTTAAGTTTAAGTATAAAGAAAAAAGTAATAGCTACCATGGATTTTGTTTCTAACAAGCTCAAAAATTTAAACAACATTGCTTTATTTTTCCTCACAACTGCCCACAACTAAAAATAATTCAATAATATCAGATTAAAGATTTAAGGCAACGGTTTTCAAACTTTTTTTTTTTAGGTAGAACTCTTTCTATAAGTGAACTCTTTCTCGATTTATAGGATTGTCCCATATAAAAGCCCAGGTATTTTGAAATAGTCCCGTACCCTGCTACTGTTTTCTAACACACTGCTATAGAATAATACGCTCTAGACTGCTGTGCTGGTGGAGATGCAGTTTATTTGCCTGTGGTGGATCAGGCAGGTGAGAATAGGGAGGAGAGGATGCATCTCTAACCAAACACAAGTTTTATAATGGACTCTGTTGTTGTTTTTTTTTTAATGGACTGTTTTTTTGTATGAGAAACAGAATTAGGTAGTCAACAGTTCAAGGCAGAAAGAAAAAAAAAAGCTACGTAAACAGCTAACACACACTGAGTACTTATGATGTTCCAAGCTCTTTATGGGTCTTATCTTATTTACCTACCCAATAACGAGAGGAATTCAACGGGGGAAAAATGACTTGAGAAACCAGTGGAAATTATTGCTAATTCTGAAAACACATTTCTGTAATTCTTCTAAGACATTAACTTATCAGGTTGTTTGCTGAGATTTGTGTGGGAATGACTTAACACAGAAAAAAAACCTGAAGAGACTACAAAAAAAAAAAATCTATAAATACTGACAAATAGTTTCACTGCTTGATCATTTCAGTAGTGAACTGTGCAACTGGCTTTAGAGAACAAAGGGAAGGAAAGGCACACACAGAAACAAATGGGAGAACTGGCATTCTCCCAGAGGAAAATGCATATTTGAAACCATCTCTTTTCTTTATAAAGCACTCAGATTGCAGTAACTGATTATAAAATCTTAACTGCATGAATAACCCAGGGAGGACCACAGCAGGCAGAACAGAAATGAGAAGGCAGACACTGAAAGAATGAGATCACTGGTTCACATTTTACTTAAAGTGACTGGAAGTTCCAGTAAAATGGGCAAACAAAGAACCAGAGATCACGAAAGACAAACCAAAACCACCCATAACCTATTCACTCTTGAAATCCCAGCTTTAAGGGAAGAATTGTCTCCCTGTGATTACACTGGGGACTGATAACAAAGTTTCTAAACGACTGGCCTTAAAATATTTCAAGAAGTGGGCAGAAGTCAGAGGCAGTTCCTTCCCACTGCAGTGTATTTCTAACATTGTTCAAAATAGCTGGCAACATGTCTCTGTTTTCCTAACAGAAGGCACTTACTGCTTGCTTGGCAAGACAACCAACTCAGAGGCTTTAACTGCAGGGAAGCCAATCAAAATCTCTATTGCAACCACATAAGTACAAACCTGTGACTCAGGTATTCCCCAGAAGCAAAGCTTTTAAAAAGTCATTTTCCCCCAAAAGCTTTTGATCAAGATGTACACAATTAATTCTGTGAAGGAAGACTATGTGACTTAATGGTTAAAGTCAGCAAGTAGGAAGCCATAGTTACTTAAGTCCTTCGTGCACTTTCCTGAATGTAAAATGGGAAAATGTGGTTAAGCTATGGAAGATAACAAATATGACATCTCACAAACACACACACACACAAAACAGCAATAAAAACGCAAGGTTGTAAAGATGATAAATATTGTTGATAAATATTAAGAACATAGACTCTGGAGATGGCTGTCACTAGCAGGTTATATGACCTTAGGCAAGCTACTTGATATTTCCATTCTTCAGTTTCCTCATCTATAAAATGGGAGATTAGGATGATGATGGTAATAATAATGCTGAATTTATAGAGTTCTATGCAGATTAAATGACATTAACTCACATGTGTGAAGGGCACAGAATGGTACCTGGCAAACATTAAAGGGCTATATGTAACAGCTATTATTACTAAATAGCATTTATGTCTAAAATGTCTTAAGTATAACACCCTACATGCCTTTAAAGGGAAGGGCATTGCCAATAGGTAGCTAGGTATACATAGTGACAAGGCTGGACCTCTAATCTACTAATCATTAAATTATCTAAAGGCTGATAATATAAGCCAAAGAAGTTAAAAAAAGAAAGAACAAAGAAGTTAAAAAAAGAAAGAACAAAGAAGGTGGGGGAGTATCCATGCTGGCCAAGAAATTTTGCTGAAATTAGCTTTCCAAATAAAGGGAGAGTAAACGGCCCCAATGGGTAACTCTATGAAGTGTTGAAAACACTGACCCAACATGTAGGAAGTAGCTCATAATGCCTGTCGCTTGCCTAGGTAATAGGACAGCAACGATTAGAAGATGTTGTACTCAGGGTTTTAGAACCTGTGAAACTCTGGGAAAAGGGATTCTACAAATCTAGATGTGTTTTTCCCAAATGAAAGCACCCTAGGGAGAGATGGCCCACAGGAAAAAGGAACAACACTGTGCATCTACATTGAAGTCCCAAACATACCAGGACACAAGAGAATGCCAAGTTGAGTCTTCTGCATCATTGTTTCTGAACCAATAATTTCTGCTTATTTCAATAAAATACATGGTGGTGTCATCTAGGGATCCCAGAACTTCCTTATTTTCTTCCTCAGGCATTGCTTCACTGGCAGTAGCCTTTCCTGGCCCATTCTGAAAGCTTCTAGTATGGTTGGAATGCAATTAATTATCCCTCCATTGTGTCCCAGAACTCTATAATGGACCATTCAAACCCATCATACTAGACAAATTCCATGAATCATAGCAAAAGTCTTTGGGTGAGGAAAAGGGGTTGATGACATCAGCCCTGGGATAGAACCCAGCCAGTTTGTTTCCTTGCAGAAGTTATATAAGTGAGGGAACATAAAAGGAATGTTATCAACTCCCAGTAATATTAAGAGTATAATGGAATGGTAATAACAGCAATCTCAACTATGTATCATCTTTCATTGGAGACATTACTGGCAGTGGACACAAAAAAACAGCAAGCAAGATTGCAGGGACTTGCCCAAGATCACCCAATGACTCAGAAGCAGGGCTAAAGTAGAATCAGTGTCCCAATTTGCAAAAAATATGTGCCCCTCCTTCTGTGCTAGGTGTGCTTAGAAAGCTCTTTCTCATTTCTTCCTATCTGTGGGCTCCCAGTCTCTCCCCTTCACTGAGTATCTGGGAGAATGTGCTCAGCTCAGGGGCCATACATGCACCACATTGGACAGTGGGTCAGCCACATTGGGCAATGGGTCAGGCTGCTAGAGGAGCTAAATAAGTACTCTAGACCATAAACAAAGCATCCTCTTGTGGCGCCCGCAAGTCATCTCTTTGATCTCAAGCACTGCTAAACCGCTTTCAAATGTTAACATCTTTTAAAAAGTACCCATCTGAACATATAGTTTGCCAGTAAGACAGGGAGGAAAAAGGGAGTCAGGGTTTATTATTTACATTCTGTTAAAGCTGCATATTAGAACAGTCCGTAACTGATGCTTCGATTCTAGTTCAAAATAACTGGAATCAAGTGACTTACAAGGTGGAGAAATCGTAGGAAGAATACAAACTAAAGTATGTTACAGATCTGAAATGCTAACGGAAACAAAAATCTTTAATCAATAGCTTCTTTCTTTCTCTTATTGCTCCTACTTACAGAAAGGACTACAAACATACCAGAAGAAACTGTAAACCTTGCTTCTATAAAGAATGAAGAGTGAAATTAAATACCGACCATTACCACAGTTTTCTCCATAATGTTGAGGCTAAAGAATAAAGATCTTGGAGAAGAAGTGATTCAGCAAAGTCTGACATAGTTGAGCCCTTATCGACATGAAAAATTCTGACTTTCAAAAGTTGGCACTTTTGAACAGTATCTAAAAGGGGGAGATATATATATATGCAGCTACTTTTTTTGCATTCTGAATAAGAAAGATACGAGTCAGGAAACAATACCATTTTAATCAAAGCTGGCGTGTATGACAAATACTGAATGGCAATCCATCCGTACACTGCAGTCAAGGAACCACCTCCAGAGAGGAGAAAGGCCATCACGTGGGTTACTGGGCTTGAAAAGAAGAGACTGTGGAAGACTGAACAAACACAGTGTGTCTAGTGAATGCTCAAGCAGTTTGCTGTCAAGCTTTCCTCTTTTAGTTCCATCTGCGTCACTTCCACTTTCCTTAAAGTTGTGTGGGAGAAAATGGGAGGAATGAAATTTTGCAAAGAAAATGGCTCAAGAAATATGTAGATAGAAAATCCTGAAGGTAAAATTTTTATGAGAACTCTTTCTTGGTCCCAGATCTGGTGTTAACAAATACCTAAATAGCTCTTCTGTGGAAAAGAAGAATCAAGTTCCCTTTCTAGTGACAGTGAACCAGTTAATGCAATATGAAAACTTGATTTACAGTTCAACAAGGACTCTACTTGCCTTTCCCACCTCGGATATAGATTTAAGATAAACAATGAAGATACTGTTTGGGAAATACAGAATCCAAGGAAGCATTATTCACCCATTGTATCACATTCAATTCTGGACTAAAATGGAAGAATATTGGGGATTATTTTAAATATGTAGTTCAATGTAAGCAGAAAGAGGAGGAAAAAAGAGATTTAATTAAAGTCTCTTTCTTTTAAGAGCTCTGTTGGCATTAACTACTTACATTATAACACTAGAATGGACATAAATCTTAGATAAAAATTCAAAAGTGCTAAAAATCCAATAGTTCTGAGAAAAAAAGGAATTCCCAATCTTGGTCTAAAAACCCTTGAAGAACTTCCATTCTTTTTCTCTGCTATGGGAAATTTGGAGTAACAGATTATAGTGAATATCTAGTATTTTTTTTTTAAGATTTTATTTATTTATTCACCAGAGACGCAGAGAGAGGAGAAGCAGGTTCCATGCAGGGAGTCCGATGTGGCACTCAATCACGGGACTTGAGGATCATGCCCTGAGCCAAAGGCAGACATTCAACGACTGAGCTACACAGGCATCCCAGAGAACATCTAGTATCATCAGTTGGTACTGAAGTCCCAAGGTGTTTACACTGATTCCCTTCTTTCTAAAGAAGCAGTGAAGGCCATTCAATGAACTACCTCAGTATAGTTAAAAAGAAAGATCACATAGTCCAAGACCAGCATACCAACTACCATTACATGATCCACATTCTCATCCTCATCACAAATGATCTTTTTCAGGGCACCTGGGTGGCTCAGTCAGTTAAGCATCTGACTTCAGCTAAGGTCATGATCTCAGGGTCCTGGGATAGAGTCCCACATTGGTTTCCCTGCTCCTCGGGAAGCCTGCCTCTCCCTCTGCCTCCTCCCCCCCGCCCCTTAGTCTCTCTCGGATAAATAAAAAATCTTAAAAAAAACAAAACAAAACAAAAAACAAAACAAAACCTAAAACAACAAATGATCTTTTTCACTGTGGTCAAAACACAACAGGGTAAATTCAGCAACTTACCTACCAGGTTTTGAGTCCCATAAGAGCAGGGAACATATTTTATTCATTCTTATATTCCTAATACTCAACAGTGTCACCACATACTTTGTAATCAATAAAAACATGCTGAAATAAAATGTTACCATGTAAAATGTCCGAGTCATCTTCAACAAAATCGATGTCTCTCAAGTCCCATTCTGCATAATTGTCAAACTCCTGTTTGGGTAAAAAAATTCCCACCCCAAACTCATCAGCTTTGAGTAATGCCTTCACAGTAGTCATGCTTTAGAAGTAAAGAGAAAACACACAAACATTTGTTAAAAAGTACTGAATGGAGTACATGGTCAGTATACTACTACAAGAAATAAGAAGCCATGGGAAAAATCTCAAGAGGCTTTCAGGCAGTAGAGACAGCAAAAATATGAGAAAGTTATGAGTCCAGAAATAAAGCCAAACCTAGTGTTCTAACAATTAAAAGTAATCTGTTCATAAAATCCAAACTGAAAAATCTAACTCTGACTAGGCCACCGAGTATTTAGATAAGAACATTGTTTACATTAACTCGTTTACCTTTTTACTACCTTTTGAGGGCTCTATTTATTTGATTTTGCTTATATAGATCAATGAGTAGATTTGTTCATATTCTACTCAATAAGTATAATTTGTAGAGCTGCTGTAGAAGCAGCTCTATGATATCAGCTGCCATGAACAAAATGCTGACATTTTGGCTAACAAAATTATTTGTAGTTTGCTAAACTTTCAAATTGCCTCCAAGAAAGTTGTAATTATGGATCAGATGATAAATTAAGAGACTTGTAATTACTTTCACATGGCTTTTAATTCCATGGATGAAAAAGGAACATACAGTTTTCATATAGATTCATCATGCTTTATATACTTGTGAATATAGAACAGGGGCCAGCAAACTGTAGCCTATGGACCAAATTCAGCCTACTGCCTGTTTTTGTAAATAAGGTTTTATTGGAGCACAGGCATGTTCATTTGCTTACATATTATTTATGCTGCTTTTGTAAAATAATGGCAAAGTTTACGTGCAACAGAGAATTTATGGTCTACAAAAAATATTTTCTATCTGGTCCTTAAAGGAAAAAAGTTTGCCAATCCCCGATACTGTACAACTTTGAAACCCCCTAAAGGTGGAATGAGAACCAGACTATAAAAACCCCATATCTATTGAAGTGAGAGCCAACATCTCTGCAACTCAAGAAATAGGTTCTTGGTCTGAAGAACTTTTACATTTTATATACAAAAATGTTATGAATGAGAAAAGGTACTCAAATGGAAGAAAATGTGGCTGCATAAGACCCTACAAATTACAGTGCTTCAAAAGTCTCTTTTTCGTGGTATAAAACCTATAGGTAAGAAATATAAGCCTCATGTGAAACAAAAGGAAGTTTCTCCTACCTCGATGAAATCTGCTCGAGCTGGCATGTATCCTGCCATGTCCCGAGAAAGCAAGGAGTCAAAGGTAGGTCGGGGAGGATCATCTGTAGCTGGAAGAATTTAGGTTCTTATTACTTAATAAAATATTGGCATGAAAAAGTGACAGAGTAATAGTCCTCCTCATTTACATACTGAAAATTTTTTTTGGAAAAAAACAGGGTCTGAGAGAATAAGATTAAAAAACGTTTTATAAAGGGAAGAGTGAAAAAGATAAGGTATTATGGAAACAGATTGACTTCTTAAAAAGGAAACTAAGACTTAGGGAATTCTCTAAATAAAATGGGGAAATTCCTCCTGATTTGTGCTTTCTTAACATAAGAGAAAACCAAGGATCTTTTCTTCAATATTACAGAACATAAGTATTTACCCTATCTGCTTCAGCTCCCTTACCCCTTAGGAGCAATTTTAATTTACAAATCTCACCCAACTGAAAAGCAAAAAACCCCCATAGGATTTGGAAGTTAGCTGGAATTGGGTCCTAGCTCTAATAGCATCTAGTCCCATGAGGCACAAATTATTTAACCTTTCTGAGTCTGTTTCTTCACATATAAAGCACTTGCTCTGCCTATCTCACTGGGTTGCTCTGAGGAGCAAATGATCTAATGGATTTGAAAACAAAATGTTAACATCCAACGTGTTTTCCAAATAGGTATCATCAGGCTTTGAGTTAGTCAGCTATGAAACTTCTACAGAGTCTGATGAAAGGGGTGGGAGGGGAAGGTGGTGGTGGTGAGGAAAACATTCATATTTCATTATTTGTACTCTGGGAGTCATTCAGCAAAGATGCCCATTTATAATTCATCATGTTTTTAGTTACGTTTTGTTAGAAGACCCATTTAGTCACATGAGATTAAAAAAAAAAAAGTTCGCTATTACTAACACAACTAAGTGAACTACAATAACAAATTGCTTCTTGGACTTAACACTGGGATAATTGATAATAATGAATCAAGGGAAGCCTGGATGACTCAGTGGCTGAGCTCTGCTTTCAGCTCAGAGCCTGATCGTGGGGTTCGGGGATCAAGTCCCACTTCGGGCTCCCTAAGGGGAGCCTACTTCTCTCTCTGCCTATGTCTCTGCCTCTCTGTCTCTGATGAATAAATAAAATCTTAAAAAAAAAATTAATCAAATACCGGACTGTCTTAGGGAACTAATATCTATAGTCGTAAACCATCCAAAGCATGGAAGGTTGATTCATTTTGGACATCTTATTTGCAGAAGCATTAAAGTCAACTGATATGTTCATAAGCCTCGGAGTGGGTGGGACTACACACCGTTTCTGGAAACTGGGATTTCTGGCATAGAGCTCTGACCCCTCCTACTCCCATTACAGCCCTGACTCTCAGTAACTGCCAGGTCAACTCCTCCCATCTTCCATAAGCTCTTTAGCTGCCAAACTGCTGTTTATCTGCTACTGCAACAGGGACCAAGGATGAGCTAAGTATCTCTTACCAACAGAGGGAGGTACTTACACTGAAACGGAATGGCTGTGTCAGCAGTTTTTGCCTCTTCTGCTTGCTTCAGGTTCAGCAGGGTAGACGCAAACAGAGGGTTATTGATGAAATGCTTCATATAGTGCTTCTCACACTCTTCCTTGGTCTTGGTGCACATCTGATTGGCTACATCCTGCCTAGAGGATTGTGAAGAAAAGAGAGCTTTCACTATTTATATACAATGCTCAAAGCATAGTTTGTTCTTTCCGTATTTTGAGTCCCACCTATATAAATGTTTGGAATTTGATACCTCTAAAGCAGCTGGAGATATCAGCTGAACAACGAGAGAAATATAAGCCTGATATTGGTGTAATCTGATGTGCCAAATTCTGCTCTTCCAATATATAGAAACAATATCTGAAAAGTGCGTTCCTTCCCACCAAAAGAAAAGAAGATCACTAGAAAATTTGTAAATTTCTGTGTAAGCTAGGCCTCAGGAAAGGAATTGCTATAATAAGCCACTTCAGAACACTCAAAATCTACATAAGTACAGTTTTATATTTGCAAAGCATTTTATAGCTTACAAAACATTTCACATCAACAAACATTTCTTTACTAGAGTGCCTTTGATAGGCTAAGCAGTAAGCAACAGTCACAACATATTTTAAGTTAATCCTAGTATTATCCATGTAGTGTTGAGTACTTACTACCTCAACTCCACAGATGAAAAAAACGACTCAAAGAAATTAAGAAACTTGCTTAAGAAAATAAAACACGTAAGTTTGCAAAAAGCCAGAATTTGTACCTCAGACTTCTGCTCCTAAACCTAGATGACAGAGAAGTAGAGGTAAAAGCTCTCCAAGTTCCCTCTTGACCTGTCTCTCTAGTTCTTAATCTTTTCCTTCTAGACTAAAAGCTTCTCAAGTGCAAGATACATGTCATAATTTTTAGCTCTACCACCCTCACCATCAAGTTTAGTGCCTTACCCTCAGCCGAGACAGACAAGTCTTTTTTTGTGATTTTTACCAGGGCAAGAGGGGAACAGGGAGGATTAGTCTATTGTAGAACATTAGAATGGCAAGCAAAAAATGAAAAACTATGCCTAAAATGATTAGCAAGCTCCTCATGAGTGATCATTTTTTCTATCTTCTTTAGTATTCCCCATAGTATACAATATTTTATGATGCTTACTAAATGCTGAATAAATATAAGCAAAATGTGAACTGAACTCAAATTTCCTTCTTCAGGGCCCTTCACAATGGAGGCAGTACAGTATATTCTATTATTACTAGGACAGATTACTTATACTAGGAAGGTCAGGATAGGGAGGATCTAGTTAGGAATCCTTTACTAATAAGCTATATGATCATGAGAAATTATCTTAACTCCCTAAGCTTTAGATTCTTCATGAGCAAAATACTATTTAAAAATGCCCCTGACCCTGCTATTTTACAAAATGAAATCATTAGTGTGAAAGTATTCCCAAAAGGTAAAAGTGAAAGTGATACTATTATTAAATAGCATTGCTTCCTAGGGCAACAGCTAAGTGCTGTTCAGTTCTGCCAGGCTTGGATTTATCTGCAAGCTAAAAACAGGGAATGTGCATAAGAGGTCTCCTAAACTCCAGCCTTTTTTTTTTTTAAAGACTTTATTTATTTATTCATAGAGACACAGAGTGAGAGAGAGAGAGAGAGAGAGAGGCAGGCACCATGCAAAGAGCCTGACATGGGACTCGATCCCGGGTCTCCAGGATCACGCCCTGGGCTGCAGGCGGCGCTAAACCGCTGCGCCACCGGGGCTGCCCCCAAACTCCAGTCTTAAGTAAGCTATGGCCATCTAACTAAAGTTTGACTCACTTAAATGATGAGGGTATCTACAGTCAAGAAAAATTCCTAAAATCAGAAAGAAGCAATAACTAATAAGTCTGAACTCCCCCAGTCTTCAGAAAGAAATAACCAACCTTCCCTGTGTTGATATATCCAAAGCAGCCTTTTAGAGCTGCCCAGTCATGGACAGCTAAACATACCACGTTCTGTGAGGCATTTCAGTCATGAAAAGTAACATGCGGAATGGAAGAGGAGTTATCGCTAAGTCATGGGACAACAGAAAAGTAACATATGGCTCCCAAATTCCTCTTTCGGAGGCTCCTTTCAGCAGCACCTTCTTCTCTGAGCCTACTAGGGCAGGACTACCCTTAACACCAAGCTCTTACCAATTTCCAAAGCCACAGTCCATCACAGCTTCTAACAGAGCCATTTCTTCTTGAGCAGTCCAGCTTGGGTCAAGAACAGGAAAATCTGAGGTCTAAGGAGGAAACAGTTTTGCCTAAGAACAGATACAGAAATGGAACCCAGCAACCTGAGATGTAATGCTAATTCACACTCAAATGACTGTCATTCTCATGGTTTTGACCAGTTATCTAAAGTACATTCTAATAAGAATTGCCCCACCTCTATTTCCATCATTAACTATAAGTCTCCAGTAAATATTATCACTCATAAATGCCATGTAACTTATGTAGAGACATGTATTTTTTATTTTATTTTATTTATTTTTTTTAAAAATCTTTATTTATTTATTTATGATAGTCACAGAGAGAGAGAGAGGCGGAGACACAGGCAGAGGGAGAAGGAGGCTCCATGCACCGGGAGCCCGACGTGGGATTCGATCCCGGGTCTCCAGGATCGCGCCCTGGGCCAAAGGCAGGCGCCAAACCGCTGCGCCACCCAGGGATCCCTATTTTTTATTTTAAATAGTAAGTATGTATGTATGTATGTATGTACGTATGTATGTATGTATTTAGAGTAAGCAGAGGGAATGGCAGAGGGAGAGGAAGAGAGAGAATCTCAGGCAGACTCCATGCCCAGCATGGAGCCCAACATGGGGCTTGATCTCACGACCCTGAGATAATGACTTGAGCTGAAATTAAGAGTCGGATGCTTAACTGATTGAGCCACCGAGGCACCACAATATTTTTAAACTTAGCACAAAGATAGATATAAATATTATACTATGTTCCCACTTAGCTAAGAAAGAAGTCAATACAAACAAGTGTATGTTTATATTTTTTTAAATGGAAGAACAAACCATATATTTAAAAAAAAAGGTTACCTATGGGAAGGAGAGGGAGAAAACAGTGGAAAGGACAGAGATAGAAGCTAAACCTCTCTGAATATTCCTTGTTTTGTAGATCTGACTTTTTCTTTTTCTTTTTTTAAAATATTTTATTTATTTATTTATGAGAGACACACAGACATAGGCAGAGGAAGAAGCAGGCTCCTTCCAGGGAGCCTGATGTGGGACTTGATCCCCGGACTCCGGGATCACACTCTGAGGCGAAGGCAGATGCTTAACTGCTGAGCCATCCAGGCATCCCTGTAGATCTGACTTTAAGTACAAATACTGTATATTAACTACTAAATTTAAAATCCTAAGAATCAAAAGCAAAATGTAATAAATCTATGGATTAATTTTAAGGCATAATCATAGAAATCCTAAGTATTCCACATACTTTAAAACACAGAGATTTGATTATATATCTCTAGTAGGATACACCTTAGAAGTAAAAAGAACTACCAAAAAAAAAAATCTTACACTATTTTCAGGAGTGCTGATATAGTTACTCTGAGGTTACTATATGCAGATGTGTTATGAAATAAAGCAAGTAATTGTGCAGGAATCACTGGGCAGTAGGATTTCTGGCTTGGGGTTTAGAAAGACATAGATATAAGATCTATGACTACGTAAAAACTTTGTATAGTCTTATATTTGAGTTGAAAGTTTTAGTATGAATTTATGATGTATTTTGTCTCAAAAGAATAATTTCCTAACACTGTTCGATGAAAAAAATCTGGAAATAATGACCAACCCAGTAACAATGAACACTTCTAATTCTCAGTATGCAGCCACTAAATACTATTTCCCACAAAAGAAAACAGGGCTCTTTGAAGAAAGACATGATTCTAAGTTTGAGTCAGAAAATGTACCAGATGAACTAAAACATTTTCTCATAATGGAAAGGAAAGAGGCTCTCAAAGCCCTTAAGGGTCATGTCAAAAGGATTTAGAAGCCAAATTGTAGAGGCTTCCATGAACCAAAGATGGAACATTTTAAGCATTAACAAGGATAATAACTGCAAAGGACTGAAATACATCAAATCTTCTAAATATCTACAGGATGCCAGAGAACCAACTCATATTTTCAAAACTGGTAAATAAAGGGAAATAATCAGGTGTATATCCTGCCTTTCCTGTATAAACTTTACCTCAGGGTGATCACGGTGATATTTCTTTTTATAGAATTCTTTTAATTCATATAAAACAAGTGCTGGGGGGGGCGGGAACCTGGGCGACTCAATTGGTTAAGTGTCTGTCTTCAGCTCAGGTCCTGATATCAGGGTCCTGCTCATCAGGAAGCCTGCTTTTCCCTCTCCCTCTGCTTGTGTGCTCTCTGTCAAATAAAAAAATAAAATCTTAAAAAAAAAAAAAGAAATGAAAGAAATAATGAGGGAATGGGGAGAGGGAGAGGAGAACACCCACAGAACACACATAAAAAGCAACCAATTGAAATGTATGGACCTCATTTGTATCCCAACTAAAACATATTGTAAAAATTAAAAAAAATATGATACCATTACACACTCGGGAAACCCACTAGAACAGCTATAATGAAGAAATCAACAATATCAAAAGTTTGCAAGCATGTGGAACAATTGGAACTTTCATTCATTGCTGGCAGAAATTTAAAATACTATAACCACTTAGGAAACTTTTTGACAGTTTCTTAGAAGTTAAATATGTATAATCACTTATTCTATGACCTAGCAATTCCACTCCTAAGTATTTATCCAAGGACAAAAAAGTATGTCCACAGAAAGCCGTATAAAGGAATGTTCTTAACAGCTTTATTCATAATAGCCAAAAACTAGGCAAAGCCCTAGTGTCCATCAACAGGATAATGTGTCTTATTCATACCACAGAGTATTATTCAGTAACAAAAGGAATTAACTATTATACATAACATGAATAAATCTCAAAAACATGCTGAAAGAAACCAGAAACAAGAGTACATACACTATGAATCCATTTATATGCAATTCTAAAATACACAAAACTGATCTATGGTGATAAAAATCAGAACAGTAATTATTTTCAGGGGTATAGAAGAGAGTAGAGATTTATTTATTTATTTATTTATTTATTTATTTATTTATTTTTTAGTAGAGATATTTTTAAAGAGCTTTTATGACATGACTGGAGAATAATGGAAAGTGAATTGAATTACTTTTAAATTTTAGAGAGATCTAGTAAGACATTTATAGATGAAATGATATAATGTCTGGGGGATTTGCTTCAAAATAATCTGGAGAAGTGGGGATTTAAACAAGATAGGCTATAAGTTGATAATTTTAAGAACTAGTAACAAGTAGGGGATCCCGGGTGGCTCAGCGGTTTAGCACCGCCTTTAACCCAGGGTGTGATCCTGGAGATCCAGGATCGAGTCCCACATCAGGCTCCCTGCATGGAGCCTGCTTCTCCTTCTGCCTATATCTCTACCTTTCTCTCTCTCTCTCTCTCTCATGAATAAAGAAATAAAATATTTATTTTTTAATATAAATTTTATTCATTTATTCATGAAAGACACAGAGACATAGGCAGAGGGAGAAGCAGGCTCCATGCAAGGAGCCCGATGTGGGACTTGATCCCCAGCCCTGGGCTGAAGGCAGGCACCAAACCTGAGTTTGTGGCTGAGCCACCCAGTGATCCCCAAGAAATAAAATCTTAAAACAAAACAAAACAAAACAAAAACAAAGAACTAGTAACAAGTATATGGGAATTTATTACACTGTAAAATACGTGATACATGATAGACACCCTCCCCCCCGCCATTAACTTCTAGAATTCACATCTGGTATAGTCCCTTCCCATTTAATATGGACTGGACCCGTGACTTGAGTAAGGCCTGGCAGCTTCCATTTTTGTGATTTGGGGAACTCTGAACCATCATGTAAGAAACTGCTTCCTTGGGTATTATGCTGAGTGAAGTAAGTCAATCGGAGAAGGACAAACATTATATGGTCTCATTCATTTGGGGAATATAAAAAATAGTGAAAGGGAATAAAGGGGAAAGGAGAGAAAATGAGTGGGAAATATCAGTGAGGGTGACAGAACATGAGAGACAATAAAGGGGAAAGGAGAGAAAATGAGTGGGAAGTATCAGTGAGGGTGACAGAACATGAGAGACACCTAACTCTGGGAAATGAACAAGGGGTGGTAGAAAGGGAGGTGGGCGGGGTTAGGGTGACTGGGTGCCGGGCACTGAGGGGGGCACTTGACGGGATGAGCACTGGGTGTTATGCTATAGTTGGCATATAGAACTCCAATAAAAAAATATATAAAAGAGAAAGAAAGAAGAAAGAAAGAAAGAAAGAAAGAAAGAAAGAAAGAAAGAGAAAAGAAAAGAAAAGAAAAGAAAAGAAAAGAAAAGAAAAGAAACACCCTCCTTGCTTCCAGACCATGTGGACAGCCAGAGGGAGACGGAGGGGCCCTAATGCTACCTGGAGAAGAACCAGACAGTTAAAATGTTCCAGCTGGGGGTGCCTGGGTGGCTAAGTTGTTTAAGTGGCCAATTCCTGGTTTTAGCTCAGGTCACCATCTCAGGGTCATTAGATTAAGTCTCACATTGGGCTTGGAGCTCAGCTCAGAATCTGCTTCAGATACTCTCTTCCTCTGCCTCCAGCTCTCAGACTATCTCTCAAATAAATAAAATCTTAAAAAAAAAAAAAAGTTCGGGATCCCTGGGTGGCTCAGCGGTTTAGAGCCTGCCTTTGGCCCAGGGCGTGATCCTGGGGTCCTGGGATCAAGTCCCGCATCAGGCTCCCTGCATAGAGCCTGCTTCTCCCTCTGTCTGTATCTCTGCTTCTCTCTCTCTCATGAATAAATAAATAAAAATCTTCAAATAAATAAATAAATAAATAAATAAATAAATAAATAAATAAATAAATAAATAAAGTTCCAGCTGTCTCCCAACCAATTCAAACCATTCTGAGATACCAGAAGTGTGTGAAAAAAATCACTGTGGACTTCTAGCCTTAGCACATCATGTGGAACTGAAAAATCACCCTCACTACAGCCAATATGAATTCCTGACCTGCAAAACTATGGGAGACAATAAAATAGTTATTTTAAGCCACAAAATTTTGAAGTAGCTATTAGGTAGCAACAGGTAACTGAAACATCATTCTATTTTAGTGTATACACAAAATTTTTTTTGAAATGTTCTAGAAGTTATTTTTAAAAGGTGAC